TGGTGCTCAAGTTTTCGCGGTCTCTCCCGCCTCTCATTCTCCCCCTCCCCACTATCTCTCTCTCTTCTCTCCCCTCTTTTCCCCCCATCTCTCCTCTCCTCCCCTTTTTCTTTGCTCACCCCAACCGGTCAAGACAGATGAACGCCCACATTGAGTCTGGTTCTGGAGGTTCCTCCCTGTTAATGAGGGAGTTTTTCTCTCCACAGTCACCAAAGTGCTGCTGGTTTCTCTATATTTATACAATTTTAAGGTCTTGACCTTCTATGTAAAGTGCCTTGAGATAATGTATATGATGATTTGGCATTATACAAACAAAATTGAAATGAACTGAATTAAATTATTTCATTGAGCTTTCAAAAGCTTTAAACCATCATTTAATACATCAAAAGAAGATTAGGTTAATAAGTATCTGTGTGATTTAGCTCAATGGTGGACTGTTTGAACACATTATGTGGTCACTTAAAGGTGCAGTGTGTAGAATTTTGTGATATCTAGTGCTGAAATTTCATGTTGCAGCTGAACACCCCTCACCTCATCCTCTCCTTCCAAACTTGAAAAAGAACCTGTGGTAGCTTCAGTTGTTATAAAAACTCGAACTTTTAGTTTGTCCAGTCTGGACTAATGTAAAAAACATGGTGGCCTCCATAGAGAGGGTCCCCTGGATGTAAATAAAAAGTATAAATATAAAGGACCTTTTCTGGGGTAAAGAAAACTACAATTCATACAATTTAGATGAAACAAACTAGTGAAAACATCATAAGAATTGTTCTACATTACATTTCTGCCAATAGATCACTTTCACCTAAATCTTACACACTGGACCTTTAACGTGACTTAAGTGAAAGCCCCCGAATAAAAAATGCAGCAGAATGTCTGAATCGGCCAATATTAGAACACAGCAGGAGATCCCCGCGAGATTCACAGGGAGCGAGTGGGTGTCTCAACAAACTTTCTAACACACGGCAGAGGGAAAAAAACTAAACAATTCAAACATCTGAAGATGAAAAGGCAGAGCAACATGTAGGACGCACCAAAGATGTCAAAGAGCTTTGCTGTAAACAAAAACATGTGATCTCCAGAGCAGTATTTTTTAAGTTACATCCTGCCTCTGCCTGCTGCATCAGCCCTCACCTGAACGCTCTGTGCATTTCTGTGTTGTTGTGAGCACGTCTGAGTGGATAATCTTGAGATTTGCTGTTCAGGTGTGAAATGCAAAGTCCAGAACAAATTCTGTGGAGTTCATCTATTTTAGTGGAGCAGAATAATATTTTCCCACAACAATCCCAGTCATGTAAATCTTAAGATTAGGTTAGCAATATGACCACAGAGAGGATAATGCAGCAAGCCCTCATTGAAACTCGTCCATAGCAACACTGCAATAACTGCATCACAATGCACCGCTCTGAGGAGTCAAAACAAATCCAACCCTGCCTGCAAAGGTTTGTTTAGTCCTTAGAGTCAATAACATAAAGGGAACGGGTGGCAGGCACAGGAATTCAAGCTAAAGTTTGTATGTGGTTGTGTGCGTGTGTTTGCTTGGGAAAGAAATCTATTCACAGCCGACTGGCCACAACATTAAGGTACTGATTAACTGTTGAGCTCAAACATTTGCTATTAAGGCTGCGCATGAAGCCTTCTTCATAACACACACACACAAACACTCCTCCATGAGAGCGATGGCGTGTTTATGAGAGCACAGAGAGAAGCTGCTTTGCTTAACATAAAAACCTGTAAATTGAAATGTTACTCAGCGATCATATTGGATTAATAACACCAGTATTTCTGATAGTAGAGCATGGTAATAAATTTCAGGTCACTCCAAACAGCCTAGGTGTTTATAGATCCACAGTGTTTTCCAAGTCTGTATATCTATCACAGGTCTTTCACAGTTTACTTCACAGTCTACTTAAACCACCCCCCCCCCACACACACACACTCACATCTTGTAGTGCTATTTGCTCAGTTTCGTTCCAGTCCAACCCAATAGTTGCCCACCCACACGTTCACATGTGGGAACACTTTAGGGGAGAAAGTGCTTCTTATGTTCACTGAATGAACTGATAGGAGGGGAAACACTAACTGTTATGTAATGCGTTTGCATCTAGAGGTATTATCGTGTCTGCTGACAGACAGATTAAATAAACGGAGCCAGAACCGCACTTCCAGTGTGTATTTTCACTCTGTCTCAGTGACATGCTTCTTCACAGCAGGCCTTCAGCAGTAAGCAGCACATGATCACGTTAATATTACTCACTTCTACCCCTCGGCCTCTATAATGTCATCATATGCAGTCAACAGTACGTGTGCTGCAGAAGGGATTCGCTTGAGCGGCACTTTGTTGTGAAGTAAATTCTATAGGTGAACCACATATTTAACTTTTTCTGCACGAAACAAAGCTGCAAGAGTTTTCTCCCTGTAGCAAATTAATGGATCAACTTGATATATTAGTGCAGCACATTCATTACTGGAATCCCATTCGTGGAAAAGGTGGTAACATGGTAACAATTACAGTCTCCTCTGAGGGGGAGGGGTTTAATGTTTATCTATGTGATTACTTTTCATATGCAGTGAAATGTTGACCATGAGCCAACAAGCACTTCCAACACGTTATTTCAGGAGGATTGATCTTTAATTATCACATTTTTCTTTTTAACAACATTCTGCCTCATTGGATCTGTGATGTCTTTAAAGAATTGTTTCTAATGCAGGAAGATACAATAAACACAATGACACTTTTCAACAGCAGCTCACACCAAAGCCTCTAAAATGGCCATAAAGTTGAATAAGCACCTCTCTGAAGCAACGGCTGACCATTACACTTGACTTAATGAAGGTAGGATTTATTGCAGTGATGATGCATTAGAGTGAAATTGTTTTGGTTAGGTGTAGCTGATAAACTGCCAGCTGAGTATATTATCACCCTATTAGGCTATAAAGGCTAATATGTTGGCAACAATGGCCCATTCCCACATCCAGAAGACACACAGAAACATTTGATTTCTCATTTTATATGAATTCTCAGCTCCAGGGCAGGGGGGGTGGGGGGGGGGGTTACCACAGACCTCGTAACATCTGTCTTGAGTGATCAGATCACAAATGGTTTGTGAACGCACCAAAAACGTCCGCATTGCATCCTCCTGACATCCGATCAGTCAGACTACATTCACACACACAAATGACGCTTGTGACTATTTACAAGTTTTCACAGGAGACACACACAGGACAGATTTTAATGTCAAATTTGAAAAGACGTACTTAACACTGTCCACTTGTGATCAGGGGCCTTATTTATAACCACATGCAAAACAGGGCCTGATGCGTCTTTCCCTTTTACGCAGATGTTGGAATTTATAAAATCTACTTGACAGGAGAATGTGTGCACTTCCACACTAGCTCTTACCCCAAAATGTTTTATTAAACTTAATGATTAATCAACTTGGTTTTGTATACCTGGGGAAACAATATGCCATGTACAGAGGACCTAACAACAAATATTTTGCATCAGGACCCCTATAGAGGGTTAATCTGATCATGGTCTTCACCAACTCAGCTAAGCAGTTTCTGGAGGAGAAACCTCAATGTTTCATTTGTAATGTTGTGCAGAGGTAGTGAGAGTATCATAATATGGCAATACCTGAGTGAAGTATAAGAGCCTCAAATCTGCATTTACACTGAGTACTTTAGTAAATGTACACAGCTAAATCCCACCAAAGCTGCACAGTAAAACTGACACGGTAGACAGGAAATAGTGTATTTTGTTCTATAATGAGCGGAAATCCTGAAATAATTAAAGGGATGGTTTACCGCAAAATGAAAATTCACTCATCATCTTCTCAGCACTATGCCAATGGAGGGGTGGGTGAAGTGTTTAAGTCCACAAAACCCTTAAAGAGTTTTAGGGGTAAACAGCATTGTAGCCAAATCCAATAAAATTGAAGTAAACGGTGACATCTTTTTTTAACGTAATACAACAGAGAAAAAACATAACCTGCCTCCATACTGCTTGTGCAGTGTCATCCAAGTGTCCGTTAGCACCGACTCGAAACAGCGTCATTAACACCATGTTTTAAGCCTAAATGTCCTCTGATAGTCTCCTCTGAGACGCATTCACGTACACACAGGCACACTCGAACACCGCGTTTGTGTGGCTAAGTCCATTAGCTTCGCCACTTGCGGTAGCCGGATTTAGTCTTAAAACACGGTGTAAATGACCTTGTTGGACTCGTGGACACTTGGATGACACCACACGAGCAGTATGGAGGCATGTTGTGTTTTTTTCTGTTGTTTTATTACGTCTGAAGGAGTCACTTTGGCTGAAACACTATTTTCCCATGAGACTCCTAAAGTGCTTTGTGGACTCAAACACTTCACCCTCTCCCCTCCATCAGCATAGTGGTGAGTAGATAATAAGTGAATTAAAAGTTTTTCGGTGAACTATCACTTTAAGTGTGATTTAGAAGCACCAAGCATCACAGGTTTCTTTCAAATTATATTCATTGGAGGTGCAACAGGCCACAGTTGTGAATGAATGCTGACCCTCTGTCAGAGGAGCCACTGTTGTGCCGAGTTTTGAATGAAGGAAGGAAGCAAAGTACACAGGCACTATGTGGAGTGTTTGAAAGCCATCGCTGCTGTAGAGTAATTGGCCATGGCCAACATATGCTCCTGGCAACAGCCTCCTGGAAGTGTGAGCTCGATCAGTCGACGCATTGTTGAGTTAATAAGACCTGCATTTTCCTTCTTCATGAGTGACTGCATCCAATTAAAATGTGTCCCAATCTCTGGACAAACTGCTCCACTGCACGGCAGTTGTGCTGTCATGGCCGTATGTGTTTGTTGTTGTTCATTTGTGCAAGAATTGTTGATGGTGTTGGCTTGTTTGTTGCCTTGTGCAAACCCAGCTTGAGGAAGACAGCTTAAGGGACACACATAGAAGAGCTTTGTGAATTGCTCCAATTACAGCCAGCGGTAACATGACAAGAAGAAGCACCAAACGTTACCTTCACACATGCGTCCATCTGTCATCAGCGAGAAGCCTGGGAAGCAGGAGCAGCGAGCCTGGCCTGCCACTGCCGTACACTGCTGACTGCAGGGACCATTTTCTACAAGAGAGAAGAAGAAATTATGAGCAGCACGACCACAGTCCTCTTCGGATTGCACGCAGTTATGCCTCCAGGACAGTCATTTACTCATAATGTCTTCAGTTTCTAATATTCATGCTGTTTCCTTGCTGTCCTGCTATTTCAGCACCTCTCATGACCTATCGCATTCAACAGAATCAATTCTCTATTTAACAGCTCCATGGTCCTGTCACAAAGAGGCATGGACCACCATTTCTCACACATCCCTCACAAAAGCTGAAGGCCGCTCCATACATTGATCAGGATATTCTTATGAGTAACAGTCAGAGACACTTTGAAGGAGCGAGGCTTTTGTGTGAGCCTGGTGTACACTCCAGGGGATTAAGGGTTTGTGGGCCTGATCCCCTCCTGACTGTATCACGATTATGCTCATGAAGCGAGAGCAGCGTAAACACAGCAGATAAACTATGGCTGGACAGTTCATCAGTGAAAGTGGACGCTGCGAGGCGACTGTGTTGGTTTTACTTCAGGAGGGAGCACTCCCCTCAGTCAGACAGCACTTGGACACATGTCTACCTGCTTTGCTTCAATAAAAGCAGTTGATGTGTTGAGCAGATGTATCCGGCCTACTGGGCTCTAGAGGAGTTAGAGACTGGAGACACCAGTGACTGCTTGCACACTTGACTGCCTCAAATTTAAAAGCCCCAAACTCTGTCATCACCCATTACACATAAAGCTGAAACACACAGTTTCACCTAGAGGAGCGACTCACAGTGGGAGGTGAATATCAGAAGCCAAAATCTACAAATCATATTTAACATTTTAAATAATACCCCAACATTGTTCACAGCTACCTTTATATAGGCAAAGTGATTTTGGCAGAATTTCTTAAAGCCTGAAAATGACGTCCCTGTGGCTTCATTGAATACAGTAAATGACTTATTATTTTCAATGAGGTCAATTAGCATGGCATCTGGAGTTCAGTTCTTTTCAAAATCAGAAAGTAAAGTTTAAAGTGGTTTCATAAAGTATTCAGACAGCTCCATTGATTCACACACTTTACTGTGTTGTAAAATTAAGTGTATATGGATAAAATTGCTATTTTCGTTGAGGTCACTGTCCTCCTGGGAACCGTCAAAGCTTTAGCTGTGGATTTATACCCAATCCCTGGTCTATGACACGCCACAGTTTTATCACAGAGGTCTACAGGAGTTTCTCCAGATCTCCCTTTTGGTTTTTGAAGAAATGTTTATACCTGACATTACGTAATGTGCATTATACCTGGATATCTTAACCCCATCCACTTAGATGTCATTTTCACACAATCACACTGAGTTATATTTACATTATTGCTGTATTAAGAACAGTAAATTGGTATGCATTGTAGTGTAATGTTGGCAATACCTTTACAGGGATTGAGGCGGACAGGGCTGCTGGTGGTGGTACTGGTAGTAGTGGTCTGTGTTGGGACCACAGCAGGACCGTCCTCTCTGACTCTGTTGTCCTCATCAGTACTCACTGCACAAAGAAAAACAATATCAGAAAACATAAGAAGCATGACGTACATGAAGTATCACAACTAATGGAGGGATTTGAATCTTTCTGATCTATGAAACCAGTTTAAAAAAAGAAAAATTACACAAAATATATCTGCCCAAAAAGTGACCTAAGCTGGATGCTTTTGTCGTTATTCTCTTTAATAGAGCACAGAAAGGTTTGGAAATAAATTATCTTTCATTTGTGGTTGCAGGGGACTTTGATGGGCAGGTTTAAATGGCTCTTATTCAACTGCCATGAGAATGATGATGAGCTCTGCTATTGGTTTAACCACAGCACAAATTCTAGAGAAATGACCATATAGGATAAAAACTCATGTAGTTAAACCTTCGATGGAAGTAAAATACTTTTTCTAGTCACACATCTGTACTTTAGTATCCCAGAGGAACACAAGGTCAAGTAGGATACAACATTAACAGCTTTTGAAAAACTATGAAGACGACTATACATATGTACAGCACTAGTCAGTGTCTTTGTAAACATGCCTGTTTGGAATGGACAGTTTTCTTGTCCTGTGTTATTGCTCTGGAGCTACTCCAGAATTATTCCTTGTCCATTAAAAAACAGTTCTACAATATACCGTCTCTTTTATTGTTTGTGTGCTGGACATTGTGTGCAGAGCTTTTTATAAACAGTCTATGGTGTGGAGAAAAGTTAGAAAACTTTGTGTTCACCATACCTGGTTTATCTGCAAGGAAGATTTATAGTCAAAGTTTAAAACTGAATTATCTTTATTACTGTTAATTCAGTTCAAAATAAAAGTATTACAGCAACAAAACAACTTTTACTTTGAAGACAACTTGCTAAAAAGGAAGTGATTCTGAGAATGTTGTTGCTACGACGGAGATCAGCACCAGTGGCTCTCGTGAATATCTGTCAGCCTGATATCGTGAAATAAAAATAATCAGATTATCCATATCATCTGGCGGAACAGATATTATTCTGCACAGGCCAGTTTCCAACCACTGCTGTATTTTATCTGAGGACGTGGAAGAAGACACATTCAACTTGGTTAGCACACTGCCCTGCCTCCACCGACAGCTACAAAGTGCCGTTTTTTTATTTGATTTGATTTTTATATTGAATGTATCATATGTCCACATCACACTAAACTTGGCACTGCACAGAGACACAATAAAACCTTTTATCATGTGGTTACCATAGAGGGGTCAGAAGTTTCACATTCAAGTCTTCCAGAGAGCCCAATCTAGCCAATCTAGAAGAATCTATGTTGAATACATTACAGATTCTGAATGTTTAAGAGACATCAAAACCATTGCAAACATATATGTCCTTTATATTCACACACATAATTCAAGAATTTGATCAATGGCCAGAAAATCGCGTCCAAAACTTCTCCACCGGCTCTGTTAAAAATGTCTGCTGAAGAAAAATCAGGTAATGAAGATGACACAGCTCAATGAAGCTGTGGTGAAATGACAACCAACATCACTCTCAGTAAGTGCATGCACCTGTCTGTGTAGATGGGCCTTTTCAACATGTGGATAAAAAACCCTGAGTGAAAACACCAATAATGAAATATCACAAAAAAACCTTTTAGGCTTCACTCGGGTGAAAAAGATCTGGCGTTGTTGAAAAAAGCAAATTGTGACAAAGTGCAATGGAAACGGATTCTAAATATATGATGAGATATATGAATCAATAAGAGGTGACCTTAATATTAGGTAAGCTTCCATTGAAGGGATGAAAAGAAGTCACACATGAAACAGATATTTCCGTCAAATGTTGTATATTGTTTTTGTTCGTCTAAAGTTTATATTTATCCGTCTTTCTATCGCTGCATATAGCCATTGTAAGCATTAGCTTCTTTTATCAATCCAGTGATGTTGCTGATTCAACTTCATTCCCTGGAACCTTTGGCAGTCACTTTTAGTTAGCATGCTCTGCAGATTGGATATCCACCTTCTTCAATGATGCCTTGGGCATTTTTTAGATATCCCGAATGTTCCCACGCGTCAGATTTATTTTCGTTGGATATACAACGCTGGTACATCAGTTCCCTCGTACTAGTGCACACAAACAATTCTTACGGTTAATAAACCATGATGTTATGAAACCACGGTTATTGAAAAACCAGTTGATCCGTAAATCCCAATATGTAGCAATAGCAAAACTTACTGATACCTTCTTTAGTAGCACCAAACTGAATTAGTGGCAACTACTATTAATTGACACCAATGAATTAACTCCTATAGTCCCACAACAGTAGAGATCAATGTAGTCGAAACCTGCATTCATTCTTTTTTTGCCAACATTCTAGAAATCCACTAGGAGACATTTTTTTAACATAGCCTGTGGTACAAACTACAAGCTTTAAATTTGATGTGGTCATTTCCAGACAATGAGCGTTAAATAAAAGATGCTATAAAGTTACACTATTTGAATTGTAAGATCCAGCAGTCTAGGAGGTTGAGCCACAAAAAGGGACTGGTATTTCAGCCTCTGTTACTTCCATTTGAACCATTTAATCTGTCGCCTGTAGTTATCCCAACCTTACCAAAATCCCCTTTGATGGTTCATAATCGAAACCTTTCAAATGTGGAGTCACGACGCTCATAGTGTTAAATTAAGCAAACTATGTTATGCTTATAAAAACAGGAAAGTTCAGTAGGTGTGCTGCTCATTGCCAGGTTTTTGTTACCTTCAAATGCACGAATAATGAAAGCATAATGAGAACAATCGGATGGCGTAAACGTCAAGGAACCGTTTATGTCCCAGAAATCTGTTAAATACTGCGGTGAACCTCACTAGTTCACTGGGTTTTTCCAACTTAAAGTAAGAGTGTACCAGGCTTATTTCTTAACCAAATTCTGAAATGTGCAGCAAGAACCAAAGTGATATTTCACATTGTGAATAAAACTTTGAAGGTGATTTACAGTACCTGGTGCACAGGAGTGTCGGTCTTCCTGCAGGATGTATCCCTGGTGGCATTCACAAAGGTAGGAACCCCAGACATTGGTGCATTTGTGCTGGCACAACTGGCCTGTGTACAGCTGACACTCATCCACATCCTCCTGCTCATCCACCACGTTGGCAGCTTCATCTGTGGCACTGATGGAGTAGGCCTCTTTGGGGTACTTGCTGTCTGAAACTGGAAGGAATGAGAGATGGGGATTGGCAAGGTCTGAAATTAGAGACAGCAACAGATTGGCAGGATAATTTATCCTGCACATGTACCTCATGAAACAGACTTGAAGACACAAAACAACATCTGTTCCTCTTTAACATTTACATTTACAGTGTTTTAAGTGATGCTTTTATCCAAAGTTTTAATACCCAAACTAGCATCATTACAAGAAACCAGCAACACTTGTTGATGGGAAAGGGTCAAACCCTCATGCATTTATAGAGCTCTTATGACCACAGCACGTCAATAAGAGAGGGAAGTATTGGGGAAAGAAATACACAAGATGTTAAGTGTTTTTAAAAAGCTATCAGATTGAAACGAGAGGGAATGGTATGACTAAATCCTGAATAAAAAAAATAAATGTCACTGCAAATATCACTATCACACTTGTTCAGTTATAGTCGTGTCTGAAAACAACTTTTAATGTGAGCCAACCAGGCACTGAACACTTTAGTAACTTGGAACATTGCATTACCTCACACTGCTTTAAAGCATCCATTTTAGAGATGTATTAATGTTTTTACCCATTCTGTCAAGTGCAAGATCCCAACATTTAATTCAGACAAGATGGGTGTGTCCTATAAAGACAGAGGCAGCTTTACGTTGTACCATTAAATGTTCGCTAAACTCCACAACATAGGACAGCAGTTGTCCAAGCTTAGCCACCGGAACTAGACACAAAAAGCTTGACAAACTTTGGATTTCTACTATTGCCTTATCTCCATGGGTTTCTTAAACTTGAGCCACAGTAAAGCAATACACTATACCTAAATAGTACAATTACCTTCGATCACCTTTTCAAAATCAAAAAGACAGGGGAGAATTTTTTAGGGGTGGATTCAATATTTTTTATCTGCTCTAACGCAGGTCACAAAAAACAGCATGCCAAGCTTACAGAACTGACCTTAAGCTAACTGCATGTAGCGTTAGTGGCTTTATTTGAAGAAGTACTTCTAAATGCACGGCAGAGTTCAGTAGATCAGTTTTATCAGTCCAGGTCAGTACACAGAAAATCAAAAGGCACGAGGCAGGCAAAAGGGCAACAGCAGGAAAACAGGCAAATGCCAATATAAATGTAATATGATTATAAATAAATTATACTAGCATATTGTACATCTACTCCGCTGCTTGTCTGGGCACGTTTTTATGTGATGAGTATTCAAATATTGTTAGGTTACAAAGATTTTACATAACAATAGGGCTTACAGGCTCTACACTGCAGTACACAAACAATGCTGCTCCTTTATTTTCATGTCCTCTGAAGAGCTGGAGAGGGTGTAGCTTTAGTTTTATCATGTACGGTACTGAAGACCCTGAAAAATAGGGCTAAGCCTTCTCTGTTTAATTTATATCACAGCAAAGTCAAAGTTAAGCCAAAAAATGTAAATGATGGGAAAGCAGACTGAAGAACTGCTCGCACTGCAAGACGGCAGGGAATGCCATAAATCCAACTGGAATTCCAACTTTCAGATCATAGATTATCTATGCAGTTATCAGTTGTCATGACTTCCATCTAACGTCAAGCCCAATAAGCACTTGGTCCTACATTTCCCATAATGCAAATAGATCAGGACTTTCATTCGACCTTGCCTGACTGGTATGCACAAACCTGGCATCCCTGGTTTAGGATAGAGTTTCTCTTACTTATTTGTAAGACCAAACATCAAGTCATGTTACTTGTGTCATTCACTCAGACTTTACAAAGCTCCTTGCAGTGAAGGGACATAGTAACCATGACAAATAATCTGATTTTCATGAGTAACATTAGTGGAGTAAGTGTAATCTGTTAAACTTAAGTAAAAACCTTCAAAGTAAAAATAAACCAGCCTATTTTGTTTGTTTTTTTGCCTAACTGAGACAGAGTCGGAAAACACAGCATTATTTAGAAGTCAGGGTAAAAAGTTTGCTGTAACAATATCGGCCCCACTGGTCTGTTTTAGGATTTCTCACAGGCATTACCTGGAGTTTGAATTCAGAGGAGCAGGGCGATTAAATGTTTTCTGTTTTAATTAAAAGGCAGTGAATCATAAGACTAAAAACATATTCCCCATGGAAATAATTACACTGCATCCTTATCCATTTTCTCATTTACAACACTTACAAAGTAAAAGCATACTTCATGCATCTTGAGTATGTGTGTGTGTGTGTGGTGTATGTGTGTGTGCGCCTGAGAGCTTGAACAGTTCTTTTGCAGCTCCTAAACCTTTCACAGCTTTCAGCAGGTTAAACGATTCCCACTTCGGAATGACATCATTCAAATTTCCCATTTTAAAGCTGAAGGAAATGAGCTGCTGTCGATGGTTAGAGCCGAGTCGATTAAAAGGCAGGATTAGGAGGAATTCCTCTGATGTTGTGAATGAAATAACAGCAGGGAGGCAGTGAGGAGACTGACCTCACCTCACCATCATACCCACATTCAACTATTCCCAATAAAGCACAACCACGAGGGCTGACTCATAACGAACTGTCAATCCATGCTCTGCCTCCAATCCAAGACATGAACTAAGAAGGTGAACAAAGGTTTATCAGATCACATATCAGTGATGTGGGGATGATACATATGGTTTTCTGGGAGCGACTGATACCCACAGAAAAGCACGGACACACTAATAAAGGTTGTGTCATACTATAATCTTTTAAAAGTGTTATTTCACCCATCACTGCTGTTGTCATTGATCAAAATCATCCCTTATCATGGAGCTTAAAGCTGCTAACAAGAGACACACATCCAACGCACTTGACAAAAGTATTCAAAACCACTTTTCTGCAGATGTACCAACAATTTGAAAATAGTGGAATAATTTGCATGAAGCATGTTTACCCTTAACTTCATTTTCTTAAGAATTGATGGATGCAAATGCGGCGGGTATTATGTGCTTGATGTATCAGAGACAGAGGAAAACTTTGCAGGCACAACTAGAGAGATGACAGCCTGAGCTGCCATCTGTTCCTGATTCATCCCAGCTTGCATACATCTTTCCCCATTACTCCGACTGGCAACGTGACTCCTGACCGATCAACCAAGAGCATCTGTCTCTTGGAAGATCAAACTCAGCCCCCGCTCCACCTCTGACATGCACTTCGACGAGGACAAAACAGCAATTGCTCAACCTTAGACAGTTCCTGTACGGTGCAAAGTCTGTTGAAGCCACAACAACCACAGCAACAACAAAAGTAGCTCGAATGCAGAGATGCTGAGGAGGCAGGTTAAAACTAGTGCTGAAGAAGTTCTCAGTATATGTGTGTATGTGTGTGTGTGTGTGTGTGTGTGTGTGTGTGTGTGTGTGTGTGTGTGTGTGTGAGAGAATAAAAATATTCGCTTTTAGGGTCTTCAGAGGGAGGTGTGTTAAATCTATAGACAGCATATAAACATGGATGATGCATCCATTGAAGCCTAATCATCCCAGATATGAGTTTCAGATATAAGTGTGAATTCTGACATCATTTGGAGCCACAGCCTGTACAGTAGAGATTTCATGGTAAAAAGGTGATGCCAAATCACAAACTGGACCGATCCTGAGTCAGTGTCCGCTGTCAATCATGACATTGCACCACTCTGATAAGAAAGGTAAATGGGTCATATTTATTTGGCACTTTCTGTCTTTTCAACCACTCAAAGCACATATGTCAAACAGTATATGTCCAACACTCATACACATACATATTCCATATGGAGCCCCTATTCATAGTATATGAATAGTGTGTAATCTAGTGGCTCAGCCAATCAGGGGGCATTTGAGGTTCAGTATCTTACCAAAGAACACTTCAGAATGCAGACTGGAGGTGCCAGGGATCAGACACACTGATCATCTGGTTAGTGGCCAACCCTCTCTACCTCCTGAGCACATAAGAACGACATAAAATGACACCATCTTTGAGAAAAATGTATTACATGTGTAGTTTGACCTTTGGTCAACGTCCCTTCCACTAACATTGAGGAGGTGGCGTTTGCGACCTGTTCTGCACCCAGCCACCAGGGAGTAGTCAAGATCAGACCTGGCTTCACTTTTGGGAGCTGTCATGTCGTCTGTCTTTATAGACAGTCTGTAGTGAAATGTGATAAATGTCCTCAGGTAACATGACCTGACTCAGTGTTTATTGGAGCTGACGACTACAAGTTGCAGTAAGAACGAAGTGACACCTCTTCATCCTGCTCGAGTCTACTGGCTCCAGAGATTTTTATTCACGACTAGTGTAACACACCCAGATGCAGTGTGGGTAATGTAGGTGCCAATATCTTACAAGGAGAAAGGATATGTGGTTTTACATTGATGTTTATCTGTTTGTATTTGTTCATTGTGAATTGTGAGACTGTTATTGGAGTGTGATGCTAATTCTGTAGTGTACTCCCTTAACTGCAGTAGAATATTATTGTATAAACTAGCTCAGAGACATTTGTATTGTGTCCCAGTTCCAGTCTAAATACTAACTCTGAGCAGTTTTTTGTGTCTGTAGTATATTCACAAAGAATCCCTGTCTGCAATGGAGCCGTTCACAGCTGCAAATTATCACACATTGTGCCAATTGTGGTGAAACAGCATGAGTAAGATCCTTGGACACGAAGTATTCAGTTTCTTCCTTTGTCTCAGTCTCTGAAGAATGTTTGGCATCATCTCAAAAGGTGTCAGTCAGATCTTGGCCAGACTTTGACAACGTCACGAAATCGAGGTAGCTGCAAGTTAAATGGTTTGTATTTATATAGAGCTTGTCTAGTCCTGATGACCACTCAAAGCCCTTTACAGTACAGTTTTCCATTCACCACATTCATACAGTGCATCTATTAGCAGCACTTTTAGTTCTATGAGGGGCAATTCAGGGTTTAGCATCTTGCCCAAGGACACTTCGGCATGCAGATTGGGACTACTGGGGATCGACCTGCTGACCTTCTGGTTGACCACTCTACCCCTCAGTCACAGTTGCACTTGTTTTCTGCCAACTGTTAAACCACACTGCATGATGGGAAAAGGATTTTCCTGAACTAAGAGAAGATTGGCTCAGGTGTGTGTGTGTGTGTGTGTGTGTGTCCTTTGGTGTATGATGATTGAATGGATGTTGTGTGGTTAAGAACATTTTGGTAACAAGTTTGACATGAGGATAATTTTACAAAGTGTACAAATAAAAGTTAAACCTAGAGTTGATAATCCAACAAAAGCAAAAGCAAGAATAGGCTGAAAATATACAACCGATACATCCCACCCCCTCCCATCAGAATGAATACGATGTTTGATTGTGTTTATCACAGTCCTGCTAGAGCAACCGGCTATTTGTCTTCCTTTTTCATTTTAAACAAATAAGACAGAATTTAAGGTTGTTTAATTAGTGTGTCTGATATTGATCATTGAAGTAAACAAACGTCTTGTATTTTAGCATTACCCCTTTCTGTGTATGAATGTATTGTGAAGGTATTTTGACTATTAATATTAATAGGCTACTAATACGATGTTTGTAATCATGACTTTCATATTTTAATATCTAAATAAGACGAATAAAGAAATTACTGATAGCCGGATGATTACGACTGAAAACTACCATGGTACTACTTCTACTATAATAGTGTATTATAATGCAATAAACAATTATCATCTAAAATGGTACAGGGATCAATCCCCAGGTCATATAGTCCTTTTGACTCAACCACAATATCTTTAATTCAAATGTCATTATTGTCCATAGAAACAGCAGCTGAAAAACCAGGTCCACCTTAACATCCATTGAGAAAAAGTGTATCTGCCCACATGATCTTTGTGCGCAGATTAAGTGTTTCCAGATCTTATAGAAATGCAGATCTTGACATTTTTCTCTTCTTTTAAGCACTGTAAGATCCTCTCAATCTTGTATCTTAAAAGTTGACTTTTTTTGGGACACCTCCATCTAGTTTTGCAGATCATGTGATATGATATAAAGCTTCAAAACATCTACTTAGTTTTGTAAACTCTATTTTTGTTTAGTCAGCACATAGTTTTCACACACACAGTAAATCCTGACACTACCTATGAATGCGATGAATGTGTTTTCCATGTCAAAAGCTCAGCGTCGAGACAAATTGCTGTGCAGTGGGTTACAGGTACCTTTCTTCGGCATGGGAGTTGGTCTGGGTTTCTGCTTTCTCTTCAGCGGCATCTGGCTGGGACCTTCCTCTTCCTCGCAGCAGGTGAGAAAGACGTCACCACACGGGTAGCTCAGGTACTGGTGAGCATCGCAGCCCGATCCTTCACCGCGCACTCGTAAGCCGAGGGCACAGCAGCTGCAGCACACCTGGACATCCAGACACAGCAGCAGAGCCTATTAGGAGTGTGTCACTAACGTGCCCTTCACTTCTCTAATCACCACCTCTCTTTATGGCCCTCCACTTTTAGCCCGGATTAGCAAACAGCTGAGGAGGGGGACACGTCACTGCCAAACAGGCAAGGGGGCAAATTCAACCCTGTGAACACACTGCAAATGATTTCAGCTGCAGCTTCAAGCTGAACCACATGTCATGCAAAGCAAAGCAGATTTCCCCTTTTGTAACTTTCCTTCAAAAACAACGACCTGGCACGGTGGTTTGGCCCGGCCGCCTCAACACATGAACAGTTGGCTCTGGGGCCAAACCACCAGGTCTCTGCTTGGAGAAACAATGAATGCTATTTAAGCTGACTCTGACCAAAGGCGTGCCTCCAATTTCCACATGGAAGTATTCACAGGTCTGAAGGGCACAAAGAGAAACAGGATCTTTTTGGCAGTTCTTTACTAATAGTTTGACCTTTTTTGCCAAAGAACACAAATAAGCTGTCTAACCTTTAGGAAAGCCTCCCTGCTGGTATCTCAAACTGAAATCTCACCCTGGTCGGAACACCAAAACATTCCAGGAGATTTTTATTCGTTTAAAGGCTAAAATCCACAGACACAATCAGATTTTACTGTAGCCGTTTTTAAGACATGATTGAACACTCTCCAATTGCACAGCACTCATTCACAACAACTCAGAAATCTCCAGAGTGTTTAGGTAAAAGCTGTTGCAGCAGACACAGGGAGGATGTAACATTTTAATTCTGCTGCGGACATCACATGCTTCTGATTACAGCCTAGATTTTACGGTCCTCATCACAAAAAGATCTTCTGACATCTTCCTCTCTGTTCCCTCCCTCTACATGTGTGGCTCCGCTTTCCCAGCACAAGATATTTGTTTTTGTTATGTTTTGATTTTTTTTTTCATTTTGCGCCACGTGTTAGAAGCGACATCAACATACCCACTCGCTCTCATTGAATCCTGTGTAGGATCTCCTGCCGTTTTCTCACATGGGCTAATTGAGACGTTATCTAGAGTTTTTACGAGGGGGCTGGCCAGAGAGACTCCAGAGAAAGTCCAGAAAGTCCAGAAAGTCCATGCATAAAAACAGGTCGTGTCACTGTGGCAGTCTTACAGGATTCACAGCACTCGACCGCAGCTGATGATTTACTCTTTCTGTTATTTTGAACAGTCTGAAACAGTGAGTCACACTCGACCTGACTCCCAAAAACAGCTCATTGTCTGTTCAAGAGGTAAAAGTAACAACCTGTAATCAGCTCAGTGTTTTCTAGAGACCTTGGTGGGTAGAGAATGTGGGTATTATCATCCCAGTGTTTCAGTAATGACTCAGTCATCTTCCTCCTCCATTCTTCACTCTGTGCTATCTAATAATAGTACATTTATGGCAGACGCCCTAACTGTGGTAAAGCAGCACAGTGATGTACCTGGAAGGAGTCGTCCGAGCACTGATCCTCCTGATCCACTTCACACGTGTTCCCTCTTCTGGCTGACTTCATACCTGCGTCACACTGGCTCTCCTTCACTGAGCTGAGACAGCAGTGCTTCTGTACAACACTGACACACACAAACACACACACACATTTACATTCCGACAAGCACATTTTTATAGACTGAAAATCGTGTGAGACAAAATAATGGTCACATAATGGTATAAGAGTTCAGGGGTTCCTTAATCCTGCAAGTAGACTGGTTGAGTTCAACTCAAACAACAGCAGGTCAGGTACAGTTACTGTACATGTGCTGTATCAAGCTACATATGAGGAATAAAATATAAAATATGAATATAAGTAAGGTTTTGTGGATCCTCTCTCTCTACTTTTGAAAATTATTATAATTATTACATTTATTTATGCTGTTATTATTAATAACAAGATTATGACTAAAAGAGTCACTACTATCATCATTATAAAATCAGCATTTCATAACTAAAATGATCTCTGTGCATATCCAATCATTTGCACCAGGCATGTGAGCGCCTGTCCTAACAAGGCTAAGGTTAAATGGGTGAAGATAACTCATATTTTAAGCATGTCAGCAGTTCTATTACAACCACTGTTAGCAAAGACAACAGGGTCAGCAACATTTGTAATTGATTATTCATGTTGCGTTCTACACTGGTAGCTGAGGCAAATATTGGTGGCTTTCTTCCAGAGGCGGATCACTTGATAGGAGACTGACGATCAGAGAAGGCTAACCCTAACCCGAAAATCAACAAGCTGTTGTGTGTCTACATTATTGTTTCCAAAAAACGTTTCTGCCCGTCCAGACTGAAAGCATCATTTTCAAACCTCTCTGTTTGAGCTGCTCTAAAACTGGAGTAGTGTGGACTCCAGGCCTATCTGTAGCATTGAAAACATAGCAATGTGGATGTAGCCTTGTGTCTCTTCATCCTTCCTCCTCTAGCCTCTCTACCCCACTTTTCTCCTTTCAGCCCAACAGGTACAGGCAGGTGGCTGCCCACCCTGTCACTCGGGACAACCTGACTGCTTGAGCGGCACGTGTGCAACGGAGAATGTCTTGCTTTTCATTTGGACGCCCATGTTATCAGGTTAGAGCGGCCACACTGCTCTCACAGGAGTGAGCAGCACTGCCCCTCTTGAGATTTGAGGTTTGGTCTATTGTCTCTGCATATATGTCTGCGGCATTTCTTAAGGTCACCTTTTTCTCTAAAGAGCCTTGAGATGTAGTGTGTTGGGATTTGGCACAAAACGCAGAGCAAGGAGAATGTTAAAAATTAAAACAGATAGAGGTAGAGATATCCTGACTGGGCCCTACAGTGTCCATAATGACACTTAAATAACTTATCTGCCTAAATAAACCTTACACATCAAAACTGTATGTGCTTTTTTTTTTGCAAAACTAAGCTGTATTTTGCTCAGACTTTATAAATACAAGGACTAATCAGTTGTAAAATTGGTGGCATGCCCCTTAAAAATAATCTAATGTTAAGATGTATTTCACTGGAAACTTTACTGGGGTCTAGCACTTATGCTAACATGACGTTTTCACCTACTTCATCTTACCACTTAAATTATTATTTTCCTCAAAGCAGCTTCCAAGGGTGTCAGTGCAGCTAAAACTGAGGCCTCATCACTTACCTGCATACAGAGTGCTTGTCATCGGTCTGCAGAGGCATGTGGTTGCAGTGGTGGTTGTCAGTGAACCATGTCTGACCAGCAGTGCAGCAGCTCTGCAGCAGCTCCTCAGCAGAAACACCTGGACCTGCAGCACAGAGACATGCAGGTATGCATACATCAGCACACACAAGACTGATGGAATAAAAACAGTTGTGCAGTAAATCCTCCATGTCTGCTCCGCTGCAGTGCATGGAACAGACGGAGGCCTGAGCAGTGCAGACAGAAACATATGGTAGACTGCACCAGGCTTCAAAGGCGCCTGTAAGACTTCAGCTGAGCGAGGAGCTGCAGCCCTGTCACCAGAGTACAGTAGCCCGTTTTATGATTGGAAACTTTTTACTCGGGTCTCAGTTTCTGCTATAAATAGTTCACACAAGTTGAATGGCAGTCCTCAGTGTGACAGAGTCAGTGTTCATCGTCAGGTGCCGAGCAGATGAAGCACCACCAAGGTTTGGACATGAAACTCTCCGGGATGAATCATCTGAATGAACTGGAAACACCTGCACTGCATACGCTTGTGGATTTTTAATAAAATGTTAAAGTATCAAAAGTTATAATTTCTCAGGAAAGATGACTTTTATTAAGTGATTGAATTATTATTCCTTGACAGTTATATGAGGGATGTAAACCAGCAAACTAATAAAACATAGATAATGCCACTATGAGATGAGGTTGAAAGACCTGATGAATTGCATATATTTATGTTGTGGGTATATGTGGTGTGGCTAATAAAGCAACATTAGCTCCTTTTTATACCTTAAAATAACAGCTTCAAAATAATTGTGCTGGTAAACAAATTCATAATAAGGCATGTCTGACACCTGGAACTGGACAATGTAACTCTGACTTACTGAGCTGGAACATTATGACCTGCTTTAAGACACACGTCACACACAAACAACAAGAGCCACAGCTACCTGCTGGCTATAAGAGACAAGTAGCTCACCACTCTCAAGGAAGACGTCATGTCAGAGCCACAGAAGAAACCGAACAAGAGCAAATATCGGAGCATGATTTACTCGTTGGCGAGAACTAAGAGGACAAAGGACAAAAAAATAAACAATGGGCCATAACATGATCCTATCATTTTGTTTGTTTGGAAATATAGCTTTTCATTCATTTCATTCCCTCACACAGTTGATGATGCATCACCGTGAAAGACTGAATGGTCGATGGAGTTGGCATATAACAGCTTTATGAATGGCTCTGTAAATTCAATCAACTGTCATTATTAAAAGGCCATTTCAGTCATTCAGTGAAATGAAATTTCAAGCAATGGCTGCACTTCAAAACCATCTCCATCCTGCCATCTACCTATTCAGAGGAAAAATGGCATCAAATCAATGTCATCAACGCAGAGAAACGAGCGTAAAACGCGTTAAGCCGGTATCCCATTAAATCTGCAGAAATGAATGAGTGCATTTTTTTATATTTCTAAATCTCGCATTTTTGCTGATGCTTTTCAGAAAAAAATCCTTGTTGCTTTCCAATTATGCAATTTCAAGCAAACCTTTGCTGACGTCAAGTGCTGATGTGGCAGCCGTCATAGCAATCACTGACATTATTCGCTTCCCTGCAGGTCCCACAGACCAGAAGCCCCCCCACTGCTGCGTGTGTAACAGCCAGCCTTGGCTGCTTCACGTGGAGCTCAGTTGGTGAATGAGCAGTGTGAGGCAAGCTGCTGTTGCCTGGCACTACTGAGAGCCACAAGCTCGTCAGATTCCCCATCACCTCCACGTCAGACCCAAAGCCGTCTCACCCTGATGCTTTTATCCACATATTAGCTCCAAAACACACACACACACACCACAAACTTCCCTCTGTGCCCTTTGAAGAAAAGCCACTGACAAAGAGCTTTTGTTTTTCAACTCAATAAACCTTTGCTGGCTTATATACAGAACAGAACATTTACATATTGTTAATACTAGTGCATTGTTTGTTCTAAACCTGCCTGCTCTCTTGTCCTGCGTTGAAACTCCGGAGCTACTACAGCATCATTCCTTGTCATTAGTTAGTCCTCCTCAAACTTTTCTACAATATACTGTCACGTTGTATTGTTTGTGTGCTGGACGTTGTGTGCAGAGCTTTTTACAAACTGTCTGTGGTGTAGAGTAAAGTATGCATTCATTTTACCTGGTTTATCTCCAATGAAAGTTTTATGGTGAACGTTTTTATAAAAGAAAATTTATTTGCTTTTTTACTGATCACGTGTGGGTCATATATTTAGTGTAAGTTACTTAACTGCTGTTTTCATACATTGCTTGTCAGCTATATTACAGTTAAGCAACTGACACAATGTTAGGACCCAAGTTCACAACTTTTTAAAATAAAAGCTCTCCAATCCAGCTCAATATGAAGCATTGCAGCAACAAAACAAACATTTACTTTTAAGACAACTTGTAAAACAGTATAAATGTTGTTTAGAACCTACATACTGTCCTGATGTAGGTGCTCAGTCTGAAATGACAAAACCAAAATGACAAAAACAAAAATAATACATTTATCAAAATCATCAGTCGGCAATTTTGACTAATGGTTTGATCCAATTGCTGACCGCTGCTGTAGTTTATCCGAGGACATAAAAATGTCAAGCTCGGTCCACAGACAATCAGGCAAGCTGCCCTAAGTGCCATAACTCTTTTAAAGCTAACTACACATTCCTTCTTTATAACATTTTCACTTGGAGCCTGGAAGAGAAAGCTAGAAGCGGTATATTTTCTCACTGCTATCTAAAATATGTTCCTGGGGTTCTTGCCAAAGGCTAAACGTGAGGTTCAGCTGTAGTGTCAGACGGAGCCGAACACAGAGGAGTAGCCTGCTAATTACCTGAGAAACAATGGAAACACACAGATACATTTATATTCCAGAAACCTCACTCCTGTCAATAGCTATTGTTGAAAGAGTCAACACTGTTTCTGGGATGGCAGCGCTGCCTCCCTTCTAAATTGGGCTGTTGTGTAGCACACAGACCAAACAGAAGACACATCCTCCCACTTAAAGAAGTCCCATGAGGTTTGTCTGGACTGATTAGCCTGGCCTCACTCCGCCTGCCCATCATTACTCTGTCTGGCTAAACACAGACATGTCTCACACCACACTGAGACACATGGCCGACACATCTGCGCCTCGTGGGAGTGTATGACAGCATCCAGTCAACAACGGCAGCATGACAACATACTGTTTATTCATGTTGCTGATATATCACATTGATATAAGGCTGTCTGGATATATGAGCCAATTAGTGATGACTATGATGGACAATGTTCTGAACTTACAAAAAGTAAAAGTCTGTACAAATTGCAGTGAACTTTGCAAAATGCATTTACAACATTTTTCATTTTAAGAAAATGATGTATTCGATTGTGCTTTTTCCATTAAATAAATGGACTGGATAAGCCATTAAATTGTGCAAAACAAAACGTCTTTATATTTTAACTTTGGCTCAAATGACTGTGTTGAAGGAGTGGGTTGTCCAGCCTGTTCACAGCAGTAGATACATGTTTCCAGAGGATATTTATTAAGACACCCACTATGGGAATCCTTCAAGATGACCAAATAATGAAAAAACAACTCCATAGGAATGCAAATGATTCATAATATGTAATTGCCCAATAGTTTGTGTGTTTCTGTCCCTGACAAAAGTCAAATGTATTTAAACATTTTTAAAAGAACTTATTAGCAATAGAACAAGTTGGAAAGATCACTGACAAAAAGTATTATCACATTATACAGTTGATATGTTGGTTTAATAATCAGTTGCCATTTTCCACATCCAGTTCCAAGTCCAGTACACACTTGCCTTTAAGCTCAGTTGTTGGTGTGCTCCAACTCCTGAAAAAAATATCTGTTGGCCAGTGAAACAAAAATACAGGGCTTAAAGTCACTCAAAAGTGTTGTAGGTTAGTGATTATATGCAGCATGTTTTACATAATAGCACAGATTAAGGTTTAAACAATTCCTGTGGACTTTCCATCTTGTTAAATATAAAGTTCCCAGGAAAATGGAAATCAATGCTGGCAGCTTCAGTCCATCGATTTCAAAATTTTAATGACCTATTAAAACCTTACTCAGGGTAAAATGCATGGAATTGAAGAACAATTGCGAGAAAGAGGTTTAAAGTGAGGTTGAATTCCGAGGATACCAGCTGAATAAAGACAAAACAACACTGTCTCCATTGTAATTAAGAAGAAAAACTCCCCAAGTTCCTCACAGTCGCACAACATGATGGATTCTGCCTTTTCCTGGCCCTGTTTTCTGTGTCGATGTGTTTATTTGTGCAGCCAGTATGAATGGACTGATGAGGCACTCGGGGCATTCAGGAAATAATATGAGCAGGCCAGAGCGGGTAATGGCTCAGAACAATGCGAGGATGCTAACTTTCTCAACTCCCACCGCTCTGAAACTGTCACAAGCTTTTCTCACCCTGAAACATACAGTGACGGCCATTCATCAATATGCCTCCTAAAATAATAAACCAGACAGAGTGGAACTCACATTGTGTCTCTGCAGCAGATTGGCAGGGACATCGTTCAATATTCAGAGGAGCATTTAGTCACTGAAATACAGAAACCTAGTAAAGGATGAAGTCTTTCAGTGTACAGTGACTTCCACCTGTCCACTCCAGCATGACCACAAAGGAACAAGTTCTGGAGAGGTAACGAATATCTTCAATTCTACTGAGATATCAGCAAAATATAAGGAAATGTGGATTTCATCAGTGCATCGACGTGACCTTGTAATTCATTTTCTCTGTGTCCCTAATGTTTGTCTATATATGTTTTGTTGTATCCAATATCGTTGCTTTGTTTTGTCTCTGTTCATTAACAAACTGGCTCCAAAGTACATGTGTTGTACTGAGTCCAAACTTTCACATACTATATACTGTATATGTGTTTTGCATTGAACGGTCTGAGCTACGCCTTGATGGAATTGAAAACAAAGCCCCCCTCCCCTCTCTTGTGGAATCTTTTTTTCGCTCAGCTCATTACAGATGTTGGATGCTTCAGCAGCGTTGCCAAACTCGATGACTTTCTGCTTTTAATTTAGTTTGTATAATTTCGGTGGTTTCCATCAAGAATCAAATTC